ATCTGCAAAGACCTTATTTCCAAATATGCTCACATTCTCAGGTACTGGGGGATTAGGACTTTGACACATCTTCTAGGGAACACAATTCAATGCATGCCCCATCTGCCACACACAGACCAAAACCCTTTATGTTTATTATCATCATTTGTACTACCTCACAACTGACAACTGTTCTATCATCTCCTCGGTTCTTACGTGATGTGATGGTGCTGAGTGCCCAGCGCTTGTTTCTCATGCTTTCTGTTTTGGTAAATATCTGCAGGATTTACTATAAAATCAGCAGATTTTATTAAATTATTTACTTTAAAAGTAGATTTCAATTAACATAAGCCAAAGAATACTACACACAATGTTTAAAATACTACACACAATGTTTAAAATATAGAGAAATACTAGCAGTTCTCTGGAACCACATTAGGAGTCTGCGCAACGGCACCCCCCAGCCAACGCCCTACAGCAGGCAGAGCTAACATGAGCGGAAAGTTCTCCTTCAAAAGGGACTCTCCTGAGTCCTTCATGTTCTCTCTTCTGATACTCACAGAGTTGACCCCCATGCCTAGTTACCCCTTGGGTCAGTTCAAACACTCCAACACTTTCTAGGTTGTGAAAGAACTTGGTATTAGTAACTACATTCAAGCAAGTCAGTTCATAAGAAGTCTCATGTTACTCCCGACAGCTTGGCACACATTCCAAGAACTAAAAAATTCTTTCCAACTACTTTTATGCCTCATATCCCTGGCTAATCTGTAAATTCCCTACACTGGATTACACATCTTTCTTTCTTTTTCTCCAGATTTTGACCACTAATCTGGGCATTATTCAGTTATTATCTGGGCCCAGGTTCATCATCTTTTTCAAATCAGGCTAAAATCACTGTCTTAGCTAATGAGTCACTGAGCTCTACCCACAGGAAACCACTGACTAGCATTTGTTGTACTTACTGACCTTCAGTCTCATTCATTTCTTGAGCCAAACCACAGTACTGGAATTCCTTTCTGGATGGACTCTTCCAGAGCTCACACCCCTGTCTCTTTATACTCTTAAGGTTCCTTTTACTCAATTCTCCATAGAGATCAAGACAGCTAGCATTTTTCCCTAGAGATTAAAAAAATACTTAAGATGACATATCTAGAATTAGTAACTCCTCATTCTCCATTCACAATCTCTTTCGGAGGGGGCTGTCATCTTTCATAACCAGGCATCACTAAGTAAAGAAGTGATGAAACCTTCAGAAACAGATACGTCATTGACAGACTGTTAGCACTGACACTCTGGGTAACCCCCGACCCAAATATTGCTCCCCAATAACCCTTAAATTTGCAAAGAATTTTCTTTTCTGTTAATGACAGCTCTTTAGTTCCAAAGAAACGTTGCATATTCACGTGCTCTCTGACACGCTCTTGATCTGTCTGTTTAGTTTTTCTACTGAAGAACTTGGAATACTCAACTCTATGATGCACTCACCCACATCCCCAAGACCCCCAAAAGAAAAGAGTGCTTCTTCCTAAGCTCAATCAAGCAATGTCCCACAGGTAAGGGGACTCCACTGCATGCATATCATGCAGGACTCCTGACAATATGCAAGGCAGTCTAGCACACTTCCACCCACCTTCCTTGGCTGTCTCGCTCACAGGGCACAGCCCTGCAGCACAGTATGTATCTCCCTCCTCCCATGCCCTCTGGCGCACCCCTTTTCTCCCACACGTACCTGTCTCAATAAGATGCTTGCATTTAATCCTGCCTTGGCATTTGTTTCTCAGATAGTCCAGCCTAACACACTGGGATTAATAACTCATTTAAATTTAGATTTTCCCGAAACTAGCAACTTTCAAATGGGTCCTCAGAAAACAGGTATAAACAAACAGGGATTTTGGAGAGTAGAACTCAGACAGAGTTCCTCCTTCTCGATTCCATTCATCCCCATCTCGAAACAGATACTAAGAACAACAAAAAACGAGGCTTTTGAACAGTTGTGTCAAATTAACAGCTTTTGTAATATTGAGAGATTCTCTTTTATGTACAAATTCATTCAGTTCTAAAAAGAAGGGAGCAAATTAAGGGCCGTTACTTGAAATTAGCCACTTAGGTATCTGTTTCCATGATTCAACTGTAGGCTTGTAGAGGGTTGGCATCCCATTTCATTCAAATGTTTCTACTGAGTGCCACGTTTGTAGCAGGTGCTCCATGAGTAATCTACTGAATGGAAGCAGGAAATGCTCAATCACAATGAGGTATAAGGATGGGGAGGGCAGTGCCCAGATCCCAGGAATATGAAAAAAATATATCTATATCTTCATTATATAAACCAGAGAAAATAAACTTCAAGTACTTTTTTAGAAAATATAGAAAGTAAAGGTCAACAAAAGTCTTCTTTCCTATAGTGGGAATAAGCAAAGGATAGAGTGAGAAAGATTATAAAGAATTGATTTTAAACTGCCGAGAAATTCTGTAACAGTGATACTCTCTTGGTTGAAAAGCCTTTCTAAGAACTGGCCGGTACATAACATCTGGATTTAGGAGAACAAGTTTCAATAATCATGTGGATAGAGCTACAGATTATATATATATATAATATGATATGTATATATATTATGCACATATCTATTACAGATAAGATACAGATTTCCTTATACCAACGAACTTCACCATACTGTAGACTCACTCAAACTTCATGATCTATCTGCTAACAGATAGATTACATTTCTCCTTTTGTCCTTTATGAGCAAAAAAGAAAAGTCCCATATCTTCCTACCATGTTAGGTAAAGGAGTTTTTAAAACAAAATAATGATTTACTTATAGTGGAAAGATGACATTTACAAAATAATTTCATAACAGTAAATGGAAATAGAACTGAAAGAATTGAGAGTTCTATAGTTAAACCCCACAATGTCTGATTCCTTCATCATTATCAAGAAAGAGAGCAATTTATTTCACCAACTATTGGCATATTTGTGATGATTAAATTCTTACTGTAGCAGTGAAAACAAGTATATTAGAGGAAATCTCAAACAATGAAGCTTTAACTAGTACCTCCCGGAATAGATGAATAGGTCTAAATTATATCTTGTCATTGGGGAATTTCTGCTGGACATTAATGGATCCAAAATCTAATTAACTTCCCTATACTGTTTAACAACCCTACAATAACACTGGCTTGACTCATAACTTTTAAGTACCCTTAGTGAATTGGAGAAAGTGGAAAAAATATTGCACATACCACAGTCAGAAAAGGCAGAAAACATTTTACTTCCCTATTCATTATTTTCCCCAGAAACTATTGCAAATGGGGTGAAATTAAAGAATAAAGATATATCTAAAACAATCTATGGTAATTTAAAATGATTAACTCCATGTCTTTTAATATATAAAGTACTCTAATGGAATTTTTAGGTAGAGTCAATCTTGGAGAACTGAAAGTTGTCACTTATGATCTGACATTGGAAAGTCTAATTTTTTGTACTAAAAGCTTCAAAAAATAAAATAAAACCATAGCTCTTCACATTTCAACTTAACATGTCACTTGTTCTATGAGTCAACCAAATAACAGCTATGAACTGAAGTGCATACCAGTTTCAGGGCACGACAAAACATCTCATAACAACCCCCCAGTTAAAGGAATTAATCCTAAAGAATTTAACATGCACTTTATATGAAAAAAATTAGAAAAGCAAATAGTTCCAAGTGATTAAACAGAAGTCATGATAATATGAAAACTTTCAACAAAGGTTAAGAAAAACAAAGAGACCTATAATTTTAGAAAGTATGACAGATTTGGTAGTAGAATAGAAAAATACATAATTTCCTAGAGGAGATACTTTTGATTTAATATAGAAAGCAATGAAATTCTAATTATAAAAAGTAAATAGGTAGAAAAGAAACATTTATTCCTTTTCCAAGGATACTATATTCCTAGTTAAAACCATTTAAACAACAGAGGACTTCTCAAAAATTTGCTTACAATTCTCTATTCACAATCTCTTTTGGAGGGGGCTGTCATTTTTTATAACTAGACATCACTAAGTGAAGAAATGATGAAACCTTCAGAAACAGATATGCTGTTTAGACACTGTTGGGTTTTGGTAACAACATACGGTATACATATTAATAATAAGCAAGTTTTTATGCTACAGCACTTTTTTCTTTCACCCAACAAACATTTATGGAGCCCCTAGCACATAACTAAGCATTATTTTAGCACTATTGATACAGGTTGAACAAGATGGACCAAAATCCCGGCCAACATGGAACTTATTTTCCAGGTGGAATAAATGACAAGCAAGAAAATAAGTTTAAAAGGTCTCCTGTGTTCCATTCTACTACTGTTCCACGTCATTCTGCCCCAGTGTCGTGCTTTCATTTAACGCTACTGGATATAGCTGAAATAAAATTATAATGTGATAAAAGTCTTTTGATACTTCGAACAAACCCTCTTGGCCCAGTTCTGAGGTAGATCTACCTTAAAAGGATTACCATGCTCTAAACCAGGGATCATCAAACTTTTTCTGTAATGAGTCACATACAAGTATTTTAGGCTTTGCTATGATCTATGTTGCATATTCTTCATTGTTTTAAACCCCTTTACAAACGTAACACCACTCTTCTTTCACAGGCTACACACGAGCATGCCAGGCGCTAGATCCGGCTACAGTCACAGCTCTCCAAGCTCTGCCCAAAAGATGTGAGTGTCCCTGCTTTTAAATGGCTATGCTCAGCACTACATTTCATGTTTGGTTGTTTTACATTTACTCTCTTGTGTGTTATTGTTCATTTTCCAAAATCGAACAAAACATTCTTTTCTAGAACTCTTTTCTAGGACTTTCAACTCGCGCAGCCATGAAGTCAGTTCTGAAGAGCAGGGCCACCTGCTCTATTTCACACGAGCAACAGAAAAATGTTCTTGGCAGAAAGCCCTTCCTGACTCTACACACTCTAGATAGATACGCTAGAGGTTTACCTGCTCTGCACAGGCAGACACATAGAAAGGCTAAAATTCCCTTACCTTGCTGGAGGAACATCAATATTGGAAGAAACGACTTTTCGTTTTTGCTCAAGGAGACAGACGGAGCGCGTGTTTTCTTTTTCATGGTCAAGGGCTCGGTTGGCTTTTTTGGCATCTGCTGTTTTCACATCTTCCTCCATGGCCAATGGAAACAAGTGTTGATGAGACATTTTTTTACTAGAGTCACGTTTTAAGTCCTCTGGTTGAAATGTGAAGGTCATTTCCCGCTTAATGCTTCCCACCTGTGAAACAAAACACAAAAATTCTCACTCACATAAAGCATCACCTTGGCACGAGCATGTGCAGATGACCCTGAGGAGAGACCAGAGACTAGAGACCTCCTTGTTCATCGCAAAGATTTTATAGTTTAAATGAGAAAAAATGTGACATGGAAATGAAATAACTGACCTTACAGAGTAAAATACAGTTGATGCATCATCCATCATAATGCAAACCAGAAACATCACAAATGTAAGAGGGGCCTTTCAGGCACATAAAAACTTCAAAGACTTAAAAGCATCATACTTCCAGAATAAATCTAAAAATTTAAAACATCCCTGTTTTCTCTTCTACAACTGAGAAAGCTCAATTAATTAATTCTTAAATATTTCACACTGATTATATTAAAGAGAAGAGTGCTATAAAGCACAAAATATGAGCCTTATCTCTGAATATGGATACTGATCATAACCATACACTAGTTCATGAAGAACTGTTTTTATCTTTCATCTAAAGCAGTTAAGATCTTAGTGAAATCCCTCATTACTATGACGATAAAAGGGTCATTAATTTTTCTTATCATTTTTGACTAAATGCAACAATGATTAAGGTTTAAGACAAACAGAAAAATTAAGCCTCAGGGCACTGAATCTAGTGCTTTTAGAATTTGTGATGACTGAAAACAAAGACAACTTAAAGGAAGATTTTGGTAAAGGTGGTGGGTGTTATGAATGAGTTCTGGAGTGAATATTTAAAGTCATGAGTGTACGAGGAAGAGCCTCACTGATCAGTGGAGTGTGTTTCAAAATATGCACACCTCTGAGACTTCACAGGCCCATCTGACAGCTCAACCTTCTTGTGGATTTAGTTTGCCAAATCAATAAATCTTCACTTCCCCACTTAAATAGGAGATATGCTTGTTCCTTTCTTTTTAATTTCAGGTAGGAGGAAAAGCGCAACAAATCTGGTCCAATAGATTTGTTGTTAGAGAGGCTAACGCCACAAACACGGCATTTTCAGAATAAAATCAGATGATGTGTTCACTAATAGCAGAGCCTGCCAGTGTACGATGCCACAGACTAGAAATTTTCAGACTGAAGGGAAACTCTGAGATATGCATGTTAGAGCCATAGACCTGCTCACATATGAGAGTTTCCAGAACCCAGCGATGACTTATGCCTTGGAATCCAGTTAGCTGGAATGTATCTTTCATATGAACGCAGAGCTCTAAACTGAGCTCTTTTCTTCTTTCCTTGGCCTGTACTTCTCAGGGCAAAAAAGATCCTCTCCCCGCGGTGTTCCTCCCAGACCTAGCTCCAGGAAAATGACCAGCCACTTTGGGTCCACTCATTAAAAAGTTACCATATTCCTTAAAATTAATGTTTAAAAAAATTTTTTTTAACATTTAATTTTTATTTTTGAAAGAAACAGAGCGGGACGGGGTAGGTGCAGAGAGAGAGGGAGACAACAGAATCCGAAGCAGGCTCCAGGCTCTGAGCTGTCAGCACAGAGCCCAACCCTGGGTTCGAACCTACAAACCGTGAGTTCATGACCTGAGCAGACGCTTAACCAACTGAGCCACCCAGGCACCCCTTAAAATGAATGCTTTTAAGAGCTGTTTTAATAAAGAGCTGTTTTAATAACACCAATACACAACAGAAAAATATAAAGAAAATATTTCAAACTTCAAGAAATGAAATGCATGTTCAGTAAAAATGTCGCTTGGAAAACTGACAAATGTGACTACTAATATTAAATATCTATCATGAGTCACTTTCTAAAATTCTTTTTATTTATTTATTTTGAGAGAGACAGAGACAGTGTGAGTGGGGGAGGGGGAGAGAGAGAGGGAGAAAGAGAGAGAGAATCCCCACCAGGCTCCACAGTGTCAGTGCAGAGCCCGAGGCAGGGCTTGAACTAACAAAACTGTGAGATCATGACCTGAGCCAAAATCAAGATGCTTCACTGACTGAGCCACCCAGGTGCCCCACCATGAGTCACTTTCTATGCAACTTTTTCTGCCTGCAGGTAGGAGAGGGGGGTGCTTTTTCAGTTTCGTAGCATTTCATTCCAAACCTGTGTTCCAAAAGGGATACACTAAACACCAGGCACAGAAAATGAAAACAAAAGACCTGGTTTTGATGATTATAAATAGTATCTCCCTCAGTGTCAAGTATTACATTAATTAAATATTTAAGTAGTCATTAGTATTAAATTGTAGCAATAATTGATATCTATACGTCTCTTGGCGCAAATGTACTGGTTAAATGAATTCGATCCAAAGATAGATATGGTTCGTGGAGAACATTATAGGAAGTTTAGCTTTTAGTTTCAAAATTTTGGGGAAAAAACCCCCAGCATTCTAAAGCAAATTAATACAAAGTAGCATAGATTTCCCGTGAAAATTATATTGTAATTATATATCATGCGCTTATCCAAGACTTCATAAAAATACAGTAGTATTTGTGTAAGCTATAAATCTTCCACAATACATCCTAAACAAGAAACTAATCTCTCAATAATGATCAGAGAATTTTAGCAATATCATGGATATCAAAGACTATTGAGCCTAGACTCCTTGTTTTAAAAGTGGACTTAAGGGGCACCTGGGTGGCTCAGTCAGTTAAGCATCTGACTTCGGCTCAGGTCATGATCTCAGGGTTGGTGGGTTTGAGCCCTGCATTGAACACTGAGCTCTGTGCTGACAGCTCAGAGCCTGGACCCTGCTTCAGATTCTGTGTCTCCCTCTTTGCCCCTTCCCTGCTCATGCTTGCTTTCTCTCTCTCTCTCTCTCTCTCTCTCTCTATCAAATAAATAAACATTAATGAAATAAAATAAAAAATAAAAGTGGACTTAAAAGGAGTTAGAGGGGCACCTGAGTGACTCAGTCAGTTAAGCATCTGACTCTTAACTATGGTTCAGGTCATGATCTCAGTTTATAAGGTTGAGCCCATCATGGGGCTCTGTGCTGAGAGCGTGAAGCCTGTGGGATTCTCTCTCTCTGCCTCTCTCCCTCTGCCCCACCCTGCTCATGCTCAAGCTCTCTCTCAAAACACATAAATATTTAGGGGGTAAAAAGAAGTTAGAAATGGGCCAAAGAGAACAAGAAATGTAGTGATGAGTAAGAGATTTCAGAGACTTTCAGTCCTGGGTTCCTCTGGGTGTAAAGCTAGTGGAAGGAGGGGATGACAGGTGTAGATCTTCATTATATCACTATTACTATATTACTATTACTGTATCACTATATCACTGTTACATGTTCTTCTTAACATTTTTTTATTTATACCAGATATTATATAAAACTTTCTTTCCGAGTTTATTTAAGTAATCGCTACACCCAACATAGGGCTCAATCTCCTGACCCCAAGAGCAAGAATCTCATCTCTTCCCACCGAGCCAGCCAGGCACTCCTGAAAACATTTTGTAAAAGGAGAGTTCACAGGAGAATAGAGAGTGGGAGGAGCACATGAAGTCAAATCTTGAGACGCTGGACTCTGAAGTGGCTCAGAGCAATGGGGCGGTGTCTGGAGAGGGTGTGGTACACGGGAGAACGTGCGAAGACAAGAGGTAGCAGCACATGTGTGAATGCTGAGGCAGAATGGAGAGAAAGGGATGAGTCAGAGCTAGTGAGAGCATAGAAGGGGACAGGGCAAACATCCAGCTGTTGCACCGCTCGCAGATTAGCAGAGGAACACAGAGGAACCCTGATTAAATTTGGACCCTTATTAGATTAGCAGAACAAAGCCGCTAGAGGAAGGTATGGTCCCATTTATAGGAGATTTGCAGAAAGGGCAAATCCATAAAGATAGGAAATAGACCAGTGACTGCTTAGGGCTGGGGGCGGGAGCTAGAACTGACAGCAAATGGGCACCAGAGAACTTTTTGTGGAGGTGGAAATGTTCTAGAACTAGACTATAGTGATATTTGTATAATGCTGCAAATTTATTAAAAATCATTGAACCGTATTCTTACAATGAGATGAATATTATGGTATATAGATTATACCTCAATAGAACTATGGAAAAAAAAAAAAAAGAACTAAACCAGAAGTAATTGGCGTGGAAAATGTATTCGCAAGAACAGCTAGACCAGAAATGGGTAACCGTGCTTATAAAAGAGGCATCCATAAAGTCTACTAGTTTGTTTGTTAAAAAAAAAAAAATTATGCTATGGCAGTCCAGGCCACTGCAAGTGACTGTATGGTTATATCCTGCATATTGGCAAGATGAGACTAAAATCCTGTCCCTACTCAAGCCATGTGCCCTGGCTTCGCCACCCATGGAAGAAGGACACTTTTCTAATTTTTCCACCTGGAGAGGAATTTTTGTGCTTTATCTGTCCCAAAAGGGCACTTTTATTTATTTTTCCCCCAGTTTGCACAATGCCCTGGTGACAAAAGGAAACTCTTCTGAGGATCGAGGAGCCTGGGCCAAGTTAGCTTCCTTCCTGGAAGGAGATATCAATTAATTATGTGACTCATATGAGCTGATAGTTTTGATATAGAAAAGTTGAGGCTAGTGGAAGAATCACTCTATGCTATAGTTCACAAGGAGGCAAAGGGTTCAACAATGGAAGACAGCCAGAAAACAAACACAATCTAGAAGTCCTGAGGGACAAATGATGAAGAAAAACAGTAAGACCATTAACTAGTAATTTCCAGGAGAAAATACAAGGCTAAGGTTTAGGAATAATCTTAGTCTAGGTTTACAAAAAATGTGTCCCCTGCCCAGGGAAGGATTAATCTCATTATCCCACACTGATAAGACTGAAAGTTAGAAGCCAGAAGTATTCGATTCTGGTTGTCACATTTCAAGAAGGACACTCACAAAGAGGAACAAACACAACAGAATAATCAGCATGGCAAAGATCTGATTGGGAGGAATTGGAGATATTTTGTTTAGAAAATAGGAGGGTTATGCCCCACACAGCTGCTCTTAGATGAATGGACAGCTCTCCTGAAGAAGAATTTGAGTTCTGTGTTCCTCTAGAAACAGGGTCAATAGCATCCACTTCTGCTTCCAGT